ATCCTGAGCGTGAGGATACCTCTGCATACAGAAGTGAAGCTTCCCACTGGCAGGGACCACGTATGTCTTGTTCCCTGCTGGTTTGCCAACACCTGGAAAGTGCATGGCACATAGTAGTTGCTTAATGCATATTTTAAAACTGAATGGATGCCTTATGTCACCTCATCCTCATAACAACCCAGTAAGTAGGTATGGTTGCTTGTCCAAGTACAGATGAAGATACTGAGGCTCAGAGAAGGGAAATGACACAAGGGAGGTCACGTAACTAATCAAAACGGGTCCCGAGGACAAGCTTTCTGGGTTCCAACTCTAGATTCTCTATTTAAGAGTTGTCTTTATACTTGGTTTTTCTAGACTCGAGTTTCACATTGTAAAATGAAGATATGAGTGGAAGTTCTGCTGAAGGGCTGTTGATTAGAAAAATCAACAAGATGACACTACAGGTGAAGAACTCAGCTTTGCGTCTGGCACATAGTAGGTGCTCAGTAAGCAGCAGTTATTGCTGCCACTCAGGGTTATACAGAGTGACAAGGTGGGAAATTCCAGAGAACCCAGATCCAACGTCCCCATCTTAATCGTTAGCACTCTCTCTGCCTCCTCCAATTCACAATATCATGAGACTCTCTTTTATGAACTCCGCAGTCTCCATTTTTTTCCTTTGTCAATTGTGCAAATTTTTACTGCACGAGAGGCAGATGGCAACCACCTGCCCAGTTTGGAGGCACAAAGGAAAAAAAAAAGAATCCTGCCCTTCTCCAGCTTTAGTCTTGACCAATCCCCAACCTCCCTGTCATCCGGCGCTGGCTGTTGAAGAAGCTTCCCTGGCACAAGCCCTGACTCATGCCACTCCCTCTCCTCCCAGTTACCTCCTTAAGTCACTTTGCTTGGGCTCCCCATCTGCAAACGGGTGATAATAAATGCACCCACCTCAAAGAACTGTTGTGTGCATCAAGTGAGGAAAAATCTGGGTAAAGTATGGGGTGATGCCTAGCACAGGCATCCCCATCCTTCCAGCCCTCGGCCATCTCAATGTAACCAACTCCTACTCATGCTTCACAGCCCAGCACAAATGTCCCCTTACTTACAAAGCCCTCTCAGACGCCAAGACAACACTGTCCAAACCTCCCGCTGTGGTCCTACTATACATTACATCTGCGTCCATCACCTCCAGGGTTGGTTTTCAAAACATTTGACTACTGGCTGGATGTGGGTACTGCTCCATTCCTGAAATTGGCCCCCACATTGAAAGGGATCAGGTGTCCTATTTTGATGGCTGGATTGTGAGAAGATCTAGAAGGTGTCAGGGGAGGGGACGGGTGGATGGGTTTCCTGGGGTGGGGTGACGTGGTGACAGGTTCTATTTATCAGCTGTCCAGCAAGTATTTGAATATTTTATCAAGCCCATGGACTTAGTCCCAGCCCTAATGACAATAGAGGGCTCTGTGTGACAGCATTCTGTGGACCACCCACCTGAGCTCCAAGAGTTCAGGAAGAATGGCTTTGCATTCCCCTGCCCTCAGGGCCTTGAAAAGAGACTTTGGATTTGGGTTCTGGACCATGCAAGAGAGCCTCAGCTGAATGTTGCCCACCAACCTGGAATTCAGTAAGGATTTAGGCCCCCAATTTCCACAGTCATATATGCAAATGAGCAGGCCACCATGTAATACACTGGTCCTTGGTTTTAATTTTTTTTTTTTTTTTGGCACCAGGGATTGAACTCAGGGGCACTCGACCACTGAGCCCCATCCCCAGCTCTATTTTGTATTTTATTTAGAGACAGGGTCTCACTGAGTTGCTTAGGGCCTCACTAAGTTGCTGAGGCTGGCTTTGAACTTGCCATCCTCCTGCCTCAGCCTCCCAAGCTGTTGGGATTACAGGTGTGCTCCATGTGCCCACCTGGTCTTTGACTTTTTAAAGAGCTGGACACAACAAATGATAGCAACTCAGAGTGGCAGGAGTTATGCCACCAAAGACTCTTGATACTCAGGCTCTGGTCCCCACCACAGCCCTGTGTCTTGCCCTGGAATTTGATCTCAAATCCCATCTTCGTCCCTCCTTTTCCTTGGCTCAATCCTGCCTGCCCTTGGTTGTTTGAGTGACTGTTCCCTTCTCTCCCCACCCTGCCCTGCCCACCTAAGCATCCACACCACGCCTGCTTTGTGATTTACAAACTTACACCATTTATACCTCATCCTCTCAACTGAAGGCAAAGACTATTTCTTTCTTATTCATCGAATCCCCAGAGCCAAGCCAGCACCTGACCCTGCACAGATGCTCAGTAGATGTGGACGGACTCAAATAAATGACTGATTCAGTGACAGGCACTCTGCTGTCACCCTGAACAGGGAGACAAATCTTGGGGCCAGGACTCTTAGAAAAATCTCTGGTCCAATCTAGAACCTTCTTCCGTCTCTACCTTTGTAAGAGAGAAGCTGGGAAAGAGCCAGGCATGAAGGGAATTCGGACACTAGATTTGGGAGCCTCAGATGCCCCAGGAGCTGGGCAAACTTGAGTGAGGGGGCAGAGCCACGTGGGCCAAGGCCTCTGTGTAGGATGGAAAGAACTGGTCCCGGAAGCAGGGCCCTGACTCGAGTCCCAGCTTTGCCATTATTAGCCTGGGCGTGGAACCACGCTACATGTCACTTCCACCTGACACGTCACCACCGCTCTTTGCATTGCTACTGGCTGCTGGCTCACGGCCAACATCACACCGCATGTGCCACTTGCCTGCCACATCCCATGACTTCTGCTTACATCTAGACATAGAGTCCTAACCATCTCATGAGGTAGGTCTCATTATTATGCTCGCTTTTCAGATTTTGAGAAAACAGAGATATAAAAGGGATTACGGAAGTTGCTCAAGATTCTGTGGCTGGTTAAGTACAGTTTGGGAGCCGGAATGTTCTCAGAACACCATCAATATGCACTGAGTTTTGCCCCTGGGCCAAGAACTGGGCTCAATGAATGTTCTTCAAAGAAGAGAACGTTGTTATCTATTATTATTATTTCTTTACAGACAAAGAAACTGCAGTTTAGACAGGTTTAGGTAACTGTCCCTAGCTGGGAGCCAGAATTAGACCACATCATCATGATCCCAGTTTTAAAGTTCCACCTGGCCGTAGCCAATGTGAGACCTTTTTCTTCTGTGAGTCTCACTGAGGTAGGAATTAGGGTATCGGGCCTGGTGAGCTCTTAAGGCCTCTTCCTTGTGGGTACCAATGAGGCTGGGCTTTAAGCTTTTCTGATAGGGGCTGAGCTCATATTGGACATCAAAGTGTCTAACTCCGAATCTGTCAGGAGCCTGTGTGTTTCAGGAAAGCAAACTGCCAAGAGCCAATTTGTACCATCACCCATTGGTTTGGGAGGACAGACCCGGCTTTCAGCTACATTCTGATGGCCGTGACCTTGTTTGGAAGCCAGCTCAGGCAGGTAAAGCCATATAAGTTAGTCATTCTCAAGGGCACCTTAAGCTGGGGTCACTGGGGACTCTGAATGGGCTGCCACTAATTATATGACTGGGGAGACTGGGGAGCCCTTGGATAACTCCAACACACTCCTACCTCTCATTGCTCAGATTTCAAATTCACCTTTACCTTTGCCACAACCCGCCCTGGGAGATCAGTGGGATGACCATACCTATTTCCCCGTTGAGGAAACCGAGGCTGGGAGGGATAAAATGATTAGTCCAGTCAAGGCTTGCACCCAGGTCTCTGGCTCCCTTCCCTACCAGCACTCCTCTTCTTAGGACATTCGGGGAGGAGACAAAGTAGGTGGCATTTGCCCCTTGCAAGTCTTCAGTAACCACGGGCATCTTTACAATGCAGGGACCTGGGGACAGTTGTGGATGGTTCCAGATAGGCAGAAGATTTGGGCAAAATTAGACCTTCATACCGGGTGCCCTCGTGGATGGGGAAGAGTTTCCCAGGATGCACTGCTGTGTCAATATCAACATATTAGCTATGTTGATCTTGACCTTCTTCCTCTTGTCTGTCTGTCTGTCTGCCCCTTTGGAGTCTGCTTTATCTTATAGGATTTCTCCAACAATCCCATATAGAAGAGGCATTCCTTCAGGGTTATCAGCGAGAAAACCTTGGTCAGGTACCTTGCCCAGAGCCCCACAGCTAGGAAGGGACAAAGTAGGACTTAAATTCAGACCCATCTCTACATTAAATTCAGCTGGCTGAAGGTGTCCAATTGTCTGACGTCACATTTCAGCCTCTCCTTGTTGACCCAGGGAAGTACTGCATGATTCCCTCCAGCCCCAGGTTGCTAAACTGGATTCCTTCTGGTCCTGCTCTGTGTCTTCACCCCAGACCTCAACCTCTCTGAGCTTTGGTTATTTCTGTCCCATCTGTGGAAGGCAAGAGTGACAGCAGCTTGTGCCCTCCATTCCCTGAGACCTTGTGTGGATACAAGAGAAGACACAGGTCAAGGGCTAGGAGCCCCTCGGAGGAAAATTCTCATATAAATTCAAGGTCGCATTTATAGGTGGAATCAAATTCCAGATGCCAGCCAAGGCTGCCAGCCAACGGGCACAAAGATGCAGTGTTCACGTAAAATCTAGAGCACCTCAGTCACGTCCAACGCCCCTTCTTCCTCACTCACCAAAAAAAACCAAAAAACAAAAAACATAAAAACAACAACCAAACAAACAAATTAAAAAGGAAAACAAACCGACTTCCTGGGATCTTTCACGCATGCGTTCCTGCGAATGCCACGCTAGAGACCAGCATCGATCGTCAAGGGGCCCCTGATAACAGAGCCTGGGTATTTTTGTTTTTCTTCCTCTGCCATCCGCCCTCCTCCAAGTCCCCAAGCCCAGTGCTGCCACAGGCTGCTGAGTGACCATTTGGTTCATTGATTATGAGGTCTGGAGCCAGCGGGGGGTATTTTGCCGGGGACTGAATTAAAGCATGTCGTGTGTTGCCCTGACCCTGGGCCTCCACCCCTGTCCCCCGTGTCACCACCAGGCTGCAGGAGGAGGCGTGTGCAATACTTACTACACCCCTGGCCGACAGGAGGCTGAGCATCTGCAGGGGCTGGCTGGGCGGGGGGCTGGACCGGGCCTCGGGGCTGGCCTTGCACAGGGTCTTGGAGCAGCCGCGAGAGTGCCTGCGGCGGGACTTCCGCCCTTCCTCGGGGGACCGGCCTCGGTGCCTGGGGACAGGGGACAGGGACCTGAGCGAGAACATTCTGAAGGTGCGCACGGGCAGAGAGACGTTCAAGGGACCCACGCATCACCTGAGGACGACAGAGTGTGCTTGTGCCTGTACGTGACTTTGACCTTGGGGGTGTCTGCGCGTGCCCATGTCCGAGCTGGACTCTGTGCGGGTCCATCCATCTTCCCATGCCCGGAACCACCCACTCCCCCGCCCCCAGCCCCATCCCTTCATTCATTCATTTAACAGATGCTTGTGGGATGACAGGAAAGGTCCCTTCCCCGGTTCAGCTGAATATCCTCCACTCCTGTGACCGTCTGTCCATCTGAGCAACTGGACGCGTCCATCTGCTTCCGTGTGTTTGGACGTAACTGTGTCTTTGGGGATCACTTTGCTAATCTGTGAAATGGAGCTGTCCTGTTGAGTGGCACCCCAACATTTCAGAAAGAAATGGCTGATGAAAGTGACCACGATGGCGTCTGCGAGTTTGCCCAGTCTAGATCTGGTGGCTCCTTCGGCAGTGGGAACCAAAGGCACATCTGCCCTCTGAGAATGGACGCATTAGGACTCGCCTGTCCCTTGAGCTCCCTGAGACACAGTAGTAAATAGCAATAGCACTGTACAGATTTGTCTGACACCCAGGGACTCCTCCACAGGTGCTTTCACAGTCCATTCTACAACTTGAAGGCGGGCGGGACAGGCGTTACTTTCCCCTTTTATAGATGTCGGAGCTGAGGCTCAGAGATGGTTAGCATCCTGCCCGCAGCTTAAAGTGGCAGGGTCAAGGCAGTTTTCTGCACCTGTAGGGACTGGTTCCTGCTCTGGACTGTCCCTTTCTGCTCTGGGACTTCCAGATCATTTTTCTAAGGGCACCTCTGCCATAGCCTTTCTCTTTAGGCAAGAGTGAACCCACCTAGGAGCATGGCAGGGGCCAGGCTGAGCAGGAAGTGCACCCCTGGAGGGAACAGCTGGATGCTGCAGGGGCCCTGGGCTCTGGGGGGGGGGGTGAAGGGGCCCCGTGGGGTGAGGGGCTACCTGCTCTCACAACTGGAGGAGCGTGACTCCGAGCTCTGGGACCGCGAGGGCCAGTGGTGGTGGCGGTGACGGTGAGATTTTCGGGGCCGGCTTCGAGATCTTGGGGAGAGAGAGAGAGAGAGAGAGAGAGAGAGAGAGAGAGAGAGAGAGAGAGGTTGATTTCGATCCACAGGTGAGCAGAAAGGGGTCTTCGGGCTGGAGCATGGATGACTCAGGGCTTGCCACACCCGCATGTCACCTGTCCCTTACCCAAGGCAGGAGTCACCCCGTCACCTGGCCTCAGGACCAGAGAGGTGTCCTAGGTGGGAGCCGTCATCCCGGCACTGAAATGACACCAGTGGTGGCCCTGGGCTCTGTCCACAGGCTGCCCACCGGCTGGACTTGCCAATTTTTCAAGTGGATGGGGAAATACAGTTGTTTTTTTTTTAATGTAAAATATTCCTATTTTAAATGGAAGCTCATTAAAGAAAGAAAGAAAGAAAGAAAGACACCTCTTGGTGCAAACAAAACCCATTTGCAGAGTAAATTAGGCCTTTGGGCTGCCAATTTGTCACCTCAGACCTGGAAAATTAAATCCAGATTCTTAGCATGGAGTCCAAAGCCGTTCAGAAAGTGCAGCACACGTCCCGCTGAACAAGGGTCTCCGCCGCCACTGATCGCGGCCTTGCTACAGGTTACTTCAGTTCTTCCGGAGGAATCCTAACCAGCCAGGAGTGGGAGGAGCAATGGCCAGGGTGATGAAGCAGGTACAGGGAATGTCAGTGATCTGGGCCAGGCCAGGGGTCAGTGGGAGTTAGAGATGGTTCTATCAGGAGGCCAGGAGCCCATCTGGTTATCTCAAGAAAGGACTCAGAGGTTCTTCTAATGCGATCACCTTTTCATACCTTACTCACCCTCGGCTCCAGGCACGAGTTCTAGCGTTTATAAAGCTGGTTCTGGTGTTGGTCTCATTCTACCTACGCCAACAGGGAGGCCCAGAATGAGCCTCGGAGCCTTTGGGGGCGAGTCCTGGGCTCCTTGCTCTCCTGTCTCTTGCCTTCTGTGGCTGGCACAAGCCTCCTGATGCTCGCTGGTAACTTCTGGGATGGCACTGGGAAGGGTGGGCAACTCGATGCCACCATGGTCCCTCCCAGTGAGCTTGAGGTCTGACTGCGACTGCAGCTGTTCATCCTGTGCCCCCCACCCCCGCTCCACCAGGACAAGTGATGCGGAGACCTTGGGGAACACGTGCTCTCTCTGCTCTGGCATGAAGACACACTCAAGATGAGTGACTTGTAACCAAGCCTGAAGATGGGAAGTTCCTCCCTGAGCTAGCTGGAGGCTCCGCTTCTTCCTTCTGGAACATCCCCAGGTCTTTGTGGTGGTGGCTGAAATGCCTTCCCTCCCACTGACCCTGAGCCAAGAGACCCTTTAGGGCGGCAAAGCTGGGTGCCCACCCTCTTTGCCCCTGCTCCTCTTCTCCTTCCCAGCGGCTGACTACCCATTATCTCTGATCTTCTTTCTAGAAGCTTCTTGGTGGGAGATAAAATATTAGTTGACTGGAAAACACACGCACTAAAATTTGCAGGGCATAAAGTAGGTGGGCTGTAACCAAATTTACTTTTAATTTGGTTGGGAACTGAGCTCTGCAGGCGGTGCTGGCTGATTTGAATTTCTACTACCAGCTAGAAACTGTGCACAGCTGGGGCTGAGACCGAGGCAAGGAGCGTCACCCGTTGCTCCACACTGTACACCCAGGAGCCAGGGCACGGGTTCCCACGCGTGCTCACACCCCATAACCATGAACACACAGCTCGCACGTGCACAGGTGAAAACCACCACACATGCCTGCATACCCACGGCGCACACACAGTGCACACACGGAGTGCCAGGGATCGGTACACCTCGGCCCTCGGAGCAGCTATATTCATATTAGGTGCTCACACGAGCACGGGCACAAAAGTGCATGGGTGTGAATGCACACAGAAGCCACAGGTGCATACCAGGTGCCCACGTGGTGTATGAATTTGCAAGTCCACAAATGTTTGCATGATGAGAAAATGTATGGACGGTGACAAGGTGCCCGTTTCACACAGACGCCCTACAACCCATGTCAGGGGCACGCCAGGAGCATGCATGTGCACTGCACAACTGCATGCACACGTAAACACACCCGTATCCACACCCCTACCAGGTGGCATACTCAACCTGGTGCTCGTGCACGCTAAGCCTACAGCTTCAAGGTCACAGACAGTTCTTTCTCCTCCTCCCTCTCCTCCCCCTCCCCCTCCCCTCCCTTCTCTTCCCCTCCCTCCTTCCCTCCCTCCCTCCTTCCTCTCAGTCACCCACCCTCCCCTCCCTTTCCTGGCTATTTGCCAACCACCCTCTGGCTGCTCAATCCAGGTCTTCAGTTCCCCCAACTGGAGAGCATGTTGCAGGTGGCATCTACTTACTGCTTTTGATGCCTCTTCTCTTCCCTTCTTTTGGTTTTTGGGCTTGAGGAGCTAAATAAGAAAGGGCCAATTAATTGAAAGATGCCAAAAAAAAATGCAGTTCAAGATAAAAACGAACAGGTGGTTCAAACACGGAACATTCCGTGGGTCCCTTGACCCAGGCAGTCTGGAGGTGGACGGGGATCAAGGCCTGAGGGCAGGAGAAGTTGGTGCCCACTTGTCCACCCAGCCAGTTCCGGGGGACACCAGCTCATGCACCTCCATTGAGAGCAGGTGCCGGGGATGCGGAGCCCGGCTTTGGTAGGTCAGTAGTGGCCCACGGGTGGTAGGGGGTGATAGTGACAATATCTGCCACGTCGGAGCTTGGCTAGGGCTAGGTGTCCTGCTAGGTACCTCCTGTCGACCACCCCTGTGTCGCCCCTGAGACCTGTGGGTGGAGGGACAATCTAATCAAGGCACATTTTACAGATGTGGGAACCCAACCTCGGATGGGCCAAGAAACTTGCCCCGGATCCCCGAGGTGACTGGGAAGTGGCCCCGGAGCCCGAGTCCCCACAGTCCACGCCTTCTGTTAAATCCATGGACAAGTGGCCGTAGCCCCAGGGAAGGCATCTGAGGCCTCCAGAGCTTGGCTGGTTCTGAATGAGCCCGCCAGTCAGCGTAGGACTTTGCCTTCTTTCCACAGCTCTAGATATGGCTGCTGCCACTTAAGAAGCCACTGTCCCCTGTCCTGATCCTCTGTCTGAACAATTTGAGTTTGAATACTGGCTCTGATTGAACTTGGCTCTGTGGACCTTCCTGTCACAGCCCCGGAGCCTCAGTTTCTCTATCTGTAAAATGGAGAAGAGACATATCCACCACCGAGATGTGACAGGGGTGAACGGGGGTGTTGAATGCGTCCACTCGTGGCAGTGGCCGGTGCAGGACCCCACATATAGTGAGTCCTGCAGTCCTGACCTCTGGGGTGTGGCTGGGCCTGGGACTGACTGGGTGGATGATGCCCCTATTCTGGAGTTCAATGGTGGCATCTTAAACAGACTCAAGCAGAACTAGGGTGCCACATGGGGCTGGCCCAGGAACAGAGGTGGAGGTGGCAGCCGAGCCAGGAAGTGGCCCAGAGCCTGGTTCAGGGAAGCAGGAAGCAGAATGAGCAGCCGGAGGCCGCGGGTCTTACCTGTGTCTTCTCTTCTTGGAGAAGGACCTGGTTCAGAGGGAGGAGGGAGGGGGAGGGAGGGAGGAAGGGGGAAGAAAGAGGGGAGGGGAGAGAAGAAATCTGGGTGAGTTTGGGTCTCTGCTCCTGGGACAAAGGCACCCTGGGCTTGTGATCATGCTGCTAGGGGTCGGGACCCCTAGCCAGTCCCCCCACTCTCTCAGGTTCCAAAGAATGTGATGCTCACAGGGCAACCTTGGTTTGAACCCCAGATTTCCAGGCCAAAGCCTACCCATGCTCCAAAGTTCACCCCAAATTGCCAGCAAGGCTGTCCCAGGTGAGGCTGTTGACGGGGGCCTGCGAAAGAGTCCTCTGTCTCCTCCCCTCCCTCTAATCATCTCTCTCCCTAGTTGGAGATTCCTCCTCCTCCCGGCTGACACCACCACGAGGTCCCTGGCTGCCACATGGAGGACTCTTCCTGTGTGCCGGGTTCTGGGCTAAGCATCTATCACTCCCAGCCTCATTCGATGTTCCCCCAAACCCTGTGGAGGACGATTCGCAGCCGTCTTCCAGACAAAGACGCTGAAGCTCAGAGAAGTGAGTTAAGTTGCCCAGGGTCACACAGCTTCACCTATGTGGCTTCTACTCATTCTCTTCTCGCTGTGGTATTTTGTAGTGTTCTATGAGCCCCTCAAGCTCCTCAGAGTCTTCCTCTGTGCTTCTCCAAGCCCTGCTGAGCTTCTCACTGGGGGATATGAGGGTCCAGACCTCTCCATGTGATTGTCACCCATTTTCCTCAGCAGCATGTGAGTAATCTGAGGGCAGGGCCTGGATTTGGGTCACCGTCCTGTTTTGGGAGCTTGAAAACATCATTTATGTTTCATATAAGGGGTTTAATAGAGCTGCAAAGAGGAGAGAACTATTTAAAACACTGAAGCTTTGTTAATTAAGAGATAAGGACAAATCTCATTAAAGTTGAAAATCTTTTCTTTTTCTTTTTTTTTTTTAATACTGAGGATTGAACCCGGAGATACTTAACGCTGAGCCACATCCCCAGCCCCCTTTCTTATTTTATTTTTTTAAATTTTGAGCTTGCGACCATGCTAAGTGATTGAGGCTGGCCTTCAATTTGGGATCCTCCTGCCCCAGCCTCCCAAGCCACTGGAATTACAGGTGTGCCCAGCAAGATTGCCAGTTGTAATGCTTCAGACATCGTTAACCAGACATTTCACAAACTTGGGGAAGCTGGCTCAGGAGCAGGGCAATGCTCAGCCAGGGAGGGCTCTGGAGGGGCCGGCAAGAGTATTTCCCCGTCCTCATCTCCCTCCATGATTCCCCTCCCCCCAAAGGACACTGTCTCTACAATGGGGCTCCATGGTGCGAAAGACTTCTGACACCAAATTGCCCTTTTGCTCACTGCCCACGTCTCATATCCACGCACTGATTTGCCCACATCTTTATAATAAGCACAAACTCAGCCTCAACTGAACATCAAGGCAGGCGCTGGACATAACCAGGGAGCTCAAACTGGGTTTGGGACAATTCTAGCAACAAGGGCTGAGATGTGGCCAAAACCCTGAATAAGTAAAAGCCACACTGAAACCACTTTGAATCGGGCTTTCAGATGCACAGGGCAAACCCAAATGACCTCCCGCTTTTATTCTGTTAATAATCCAAATTGCTCGCCGCATTGGAAGACGCAGTAATAAAATACAAATGAAATACATAAAATATAAACTGGACGTTTCCCATTATCCAGGGCCAACCACAGGGTCTGGGAAATGTGTGTCAGTGGCAGGAGGAGGCTGAGACGTGTTAAAGCCCACACCGCTCCCCAGGCCAGCTGAGGGCTGCCCGTGGGAAACTGGCTCAAGGAAGACACGGACCTTTCTTTTATGGAGGGAATGCAACACTGAGATTCTGTTTTGTAAAATCTTTCGATTATAAATGTTGACTTGGAGCCCTCTGGTTTAAATCCTTCTGGTCTTTTCCCCCTGTAAACATGTGTGTGCGTGGGACCGTGGATCAGTGTGTGCATGCATGTGTGTGCACAGTGGGAAAGTTCTAGAAGGTGTGTTCTGCTTACAATGTCCTTTCACTTCTGACCCCGCTCCCCTCCCACAAGGGTGAGCCATCCTAGCAGCCACGTTCTCCAACCAGATCCCACCCTCTGGGACATAGGGGGACCCCCATGTGAAGCCTTCTCTAGGGAATTTGGAACAGGGAATTTGGACAGTTCAGAGTCTCCTGAGGCTTAGCTTGCCATGTGGAGACACGGGGCAGGGTGCAGCCTTGTCCCCTTACATAGACCAGGAAGCAGAGGGAGCCGTGGCTTCTGCCTGACCCCATGAGCCCTCTATTCCCTCTCCTTGCCCCCTTGCCCACACCTAGGGGGCCACTGAGACCCTCCTGCTTTCTTCTAATCAGGCCTTTCCTGGCCTCAGTTGGGATGGTGGACCCCTGGTCCCTGCATCTGGAGTCCCAACTTGTACATGATATTAATATATATATATATATATATATATATATATATATATATATATATATATATATAAAATAAATTTGCTGCACAAATGACATGAGATGGTTCCAAACGACATTTTGAGTCTCCCTTCCCTATCCCACCTGGGAGGCCCCTGTTTATAAAGGAAGAAGGATGATACCTGCGTCGCTTGTGTTTCTTGGAACTTTTCTTCTTCTTTTTCTTCACGGGCGATGGGCTATAGGATGGGGACCTGTGGGAAGGGGAGGCACTTCAGAGGGAGGCTGGTAAAGGCCAGAGTTGGTTTCTCAGGGCGCTTTCCCCAACCCCTCTGTAGGGTCTCAGCTCTTTTAGAACTGCTCATCAAGGGTCATCTTAACCCCAACAGTAGCTTTTTGCATTTATTTTAAACATGACCATGTACTTTTTAAGTATTATCTCATTTAACCCTTCCACATGCTTCTCAGGTACAGTTGCTACCAGAACTTTTCTGATGAAGAAACAGAGGTTCTGAGAGGTGAAGGGATCTGCCCAGAGACACACAGCTAAAAAATTGGAGATCTTTCCATCCCAGGAGGGAAATGACTGAGGACCCACTCGACCTTTAAGGAATCACAACGTCCGTCCCCAAACGCGAGCTCGGTGGACATTTATTGAATGATGGATGTCTGCTATCTCCTTTTTGAAAAGTTCTTCAACCCACCCCTAAAATCAGGAAACTCCACTTGTCCAATGCCACTCCTTGCCTTACAATGGCTACATCTCAGCTTCTTCACCCACATTCCCTATGGGGTTTTCCTTGGGCCTGACCCTTTTAGGACTAGGCTAAAGGGTGTCCTAGAACAAGGTCCCAGAAAAGTTCAGGCTCAAGTGGTCCAGACACTGCTCTCTGCTGCCCCCTGCAGGCGTCTATGAGTATTGCCTTGGCCGTTCGGTGGATTCTCCACTAAGAATTTTCAGGCCTGGTTCTCTGGGGTTGGGACACCAGGTAAGCAAGCGTTCAGGCTAGTGAGCGACTGTCTACAGGCAAACCTGGAAATATTTTTCAATGCAAAACAAAAAAAAAAAAAATTAAACGATGGTGTATAGAAAAGTAAAAGGCAATAAATGCAAAAGAGCCATTGACTTGGCAAATATTGTCAAGTCCATTCATTATCCTGGGCATTTGGCTTGATGGACAGTGGGGTGGACACCTACTGGGAATCAAGACCCTGCAGATTCTTTCACTCCCTCGCTGAGCCTTTTTTCCCCTCATCCCTAAAATGGGAATATTAATGCTTGCCGGGGTGGATAGAGGTCGGGAGGTCGGGAAATCAGGGTAGTATTATCAGCTTAGTGTGATCCTCCGCACTGAGTCAACTCTCAGAGGAACTCAGTGCTCATGATAGTGACTGTGCTCCTATTTAATTGGTCACTTACTACATGCCAGACACCAAATCCCAAGAGGCAGGTATCATTGTCATTTGTTTTCAGAATTGGAAAAGCTTAGAGGTGAAGTTCAAGGTCACACAGCCAGTGAACAGGCAGAGAAGAGATCTGCACTCTACGGAGAGTCCCCTACGGACTCCAAAGCCCCTGTCACCCTGTTCTGTTCCTTTCCGCATCTTGAAGGTTTCGTCTCCCCCCGGTGGGTGGTCTCACCTCCTTCTCTTCTTCCGGGCAGATTTCTTCTTCTTCTTCTTCCCCCTGGAGGAGGGTGGTGGTGTGAAGTCTCTGTCGAGGGACGCACTGTGGAGAACAAAGAGTCAGAGGACCCAGGGCTCCCCCATCCCCCAGCCAGGGCCCTGGCAGCCTGGGAAGGGGAAGGACCCAGATCCTTGCAAGACCAAGGACCCAGAGCAAACACCTAATTACCACCTCAGGGCTGATTCGGTCACACCTCAGATTAAGTGCTTCAAATGAGGACTTAATGAGACAGACGCTGAACGCTACCCAAACACCAATTGATTATTTAAAACAGAGTTATAGAGGTTAACTACTCCTTAATAGATTTATTATTGAATTTGCAAATGGCTCACCTTGGTAAATAAATCACTTTTTAAATAATTAATCAGCAGTTCAGCCCCCTCCTTCCCCAATCCATCCTGTCCCATGGTGCCTGCTGGAAATTCAATGGGAGGTGGAAGGTATGTTAAGTAGCAGCTGATTACTAAAAGTTTATTTGCCGAGGTCTAATGTAACGAGATCCATATCTTATACCGCCTCCCAGAACCTCAAAAACCTCGCTCTTCAGAAATAATTATTTCCCGTGCAATTAAATTCAAATGCTCAGGCTGCAGTTAAATGATGTCAAGTTATCTCCTTTTATAATTGGGGCAGGCTCCAGGGATATATTTTTTTAAATGCTATCCCATAGCAAAGAGAGAGGGTTTGGGGGGTGGAGAACTATTGGGAATTGAAACACGAAACCCAATTGAACTTTACTGGAAAATGTAATATTATCATCATTATTTTAGTAGCAATACCACCAGCATGGATGCATCTATCCTGTGTCAGGAGTTTTAGGTATTTGGTACGCCACGAAAATAGTTTGAGGGTGGTGTGATTTTTAACCCTCTCGTTTTACAGGTGGAGAAAACGAGTTTCAGAGAGTTGAATGGATTTTCCAACAGCCACACCATCCAGAATTACCCAAGCTGGGATTTGAACCTGGGTGATTCCTGCCCCCGCCTCCCCCCAGCTGCCTTCTCAAAGTTGATTGTGGGGCCCAGTCGTCTGGAAGTTGCCCAGCTCCCTAGAGAACATTGTCAAATGCTGCCATGTTTAATTCCACTCTAAGAATCTGGATCATTGGGATTAATAGAGGAGTGATGAAATGATCAGAATATACATCAAGTTCTCTGCATCTCCAATAAATGAAGATCCCACGGCCCCTAGAGATAGCGTTTCCAAGAGAGTCGCTTTGAGCAGGTTAAAAATAAATGTCACAGGAATCAAGGACGTGCTGCTTAATCATGCTTACATGTCATGAAGTGCAAACAACACACATACTCGGAAGCGAACAGGCTACTTGGGTGGATGCAGTGGCCCTTTCCAAATATTGTGTCCAAAAAGTGTTTGACACAGAGGACGAGCCTAATAAATATTTGTCCAGTGACCAAATGAGGGGTGAGTGGATGAACTAATCCAGCTACGTGTTAAATCATCAGGTTTCATATAAACACAGCCTGGCCGGGGAACAGCTGCCAAGGATTTGAGAGGAAAAATAAATAAATAAATAAGGGACAAATACTCAAGAAACAAAACAAAACAAAACCTTTTCATTGTATGTCTTTTAAAATGAGGAAAAGGTCTCTCTGTTTCAGACAAATATTCAAACTCCTGGAATATTTGCCAAGGGAGCCCAGTTTGAGAACCACTGTCTTGGACTCGAATTTAAGTCATAGGGCAAAACTGAGAAAGTATTTAAATTGGGGTAGATTTGAAGTCTGTGAGATGGCTTTCATGGATCCAGCCCCTTATAATTCCCCAGTGATTTTGCCCAGGGGAGTCTGCCCTCCCTCGACCTCTTCACCCTGCAGCGGCTTGCCCAACACCTGCCAGGTGTGCCGTCACCAAGGGGCTAAAGGGGTAGAAAGGCATGAAGCACTCTGGTGTTACATGTGCAGGGGCTGAGGACGCAGTGCTTATATATACTGCTGTTACAGACACGAGGTTACGCACAGTGACAGAGCATGCGGCGGCTAAGTATGCAGTGGTCACAAGTGGAGCCGTCAAGTTGGTAGTGGTGAAGTATGCAGTGGTTAAGTGCTCAGCGTGGTGAAGCAGGCAGAGGGTAAGTATGCAGTGGTTAAGTACACACAGGCAGAGGGTAAGTGTGCAGTGGTTAAGTACACACAGGCAGAGGGTAAGTGTGCAGTGGTTAAGTACACACAGGCAGAGGGTAAGTGTGCAGTGGCTAAGTACACACAGGCAGAGGGTAAGTGTGCAGTGGCTAAGTACACACAGGCAGAGGGTAAGTGTGCAGTGGCTAAGTACACACAGGCAGAGGGTAAGTATGCAGTGGTTTATGTACACACAGGCAGAGGGTAAGTGTGCAGTGGCTAAGTATACACAGGCAGAGGGTAAGTGTGCAGTGGCTAAGTACACACAGGCAGAGGGTAAGTATGCAGTGGTTTATGTACACACAGGCAGAGGGTAAGTGTGCAGTGGTTAAGTACACACAGGCAGAGGTAAGTGTGCAGTGGCTAAGTATACACAGGCAGAGGGTAAGTGTGCAGTGGTTAAGTACACACAGGCAGAGGGTAAGTGTGCAGTGGCTAAGTATACACAGGCAGAGGGTAAGTGTGCAGTGGTTAAGTACACACAGGCAGAGGGTAAGTATGTAGTGGTTAAGTACACACAGGCAGAAGTAAGTATGCAGTGGCTAAGTACACACAGGCAGAGGGTAAGAAGGAAGTGGTTAAGTACACACAGGCAGAAGATTAGTATGCAGTGGCTAAGTACACACAGGCAGAGGGTAAGTAGGAAGTGGTTAAGTACACACACAGGCAGAGGGTAAATATGCAGTGATTAAGTACACACAGGCAGAGAGTAAGTATGCAATGGTTAAGTACACATAGGCAAAGGGTAAGTATACAATGGTTAAATGGCTAAGTTCACACAGACAGACGGTAAGTATGCAGTGGTTTAAGTACACACAGGCAGAGGGTAAGTGTGCAGTGGTTAACACACACTGGTGAGGCAGGCAGTGGGTAAGTGTGCAGAAGTGCCTAGTGGTTTTGTACACAGTAGTTCAACACGCAGGGCCAGGAGTGTGACGGTCACATATGCAGGGGCTTAACACACAGTGGCCGAGTTTGCTGAGGTCAAATCCGCGTGGCTGAGAACACAGCCGTGAGGACTCCTGGCCCCAGATCCTGACTAAGTGGATTGAAGCCCAGTCTCTTCCTGGCTCTGGGTCTCATTGTCATCACCTAGAGGAAGGGAATCAAGGGCAGCCCCATGTCATAAGTCATTGCCAGGATCAGAGAAGCGGGCTTGTGTCACACACCCTGCTGGGGCACGGAGTCAGTTTACAGTAAAGGGGCTTCTGTGAGGGTCACGCACCACACGCTGGCATTTCAGTCAATGACAGACAGTGGTCCCATCAGATGAGAACGGAGCTGAAAAACTCCTGTCGATTGCCGCCCAGCGCATCACCCCGTGACACTGGTGTGGACAAACCCTCGGTGCTGCCATAATACTTGGGGACAATAACAAATGACAGTTGCCAGCTGATGTACTCATTATACTTTGATTGTTAGAGCCAACGCCTATTTATGAAAAGAAAGCATTTATCGCAAAAGAGCCTGCTCTGCTGCCACCCACAGATGGTGCTTGACCTCAGATCTCGATGGCACCATGTCCTCTTGTCCTTGATTGAGTCTCGTGCTACTTTGTGCATCTATGGGACATGTGTAAAGCACGCATCCTCCGTGTGCGCCAGGCTGTCCCATCTGGGTCCGCGTGAGCACACGCTGATGTTTGCACAGTGACAACGTCTCCTAAGGATGGATCTCTCAAAATACATCCCCGTTGTTAAATGATGCATGACCGTCGTGGAATCATTATGACTTTTATTATCACCGTCGTGATTATCATCGCTGTGCTTTTTAACACGTCAGAGAGTCAGTCCCAGAGAGAAGGGTGCGAGAGACCCAGACGCTGTACGTTGGCAATGTGGCATCGCTGTTCAGGTTTCATGCCCAGAACCTTCTCTCCCGGCCCCAGGAGACTCACTCAACATGCTTCAAGACTTCCTGTGCTCTGGACCCACGGCTGGGACCCGTTGGTGTCCCATCTAGTTGATTCCTCACTGTGACCTTGAGAATGGGGTTTTCATATTCCCATTTTACAATCATGAAAACTGAGGAAGAGAAACATGGTCACTCAGTTTGTCAAGGGCAGCATCCCAGGGAGAGCCCAGGGCTCTAGGTCTCACGGCCTCCCCTTCCACCCTTGGGAAGATGCTGTTTTGAAAAGACAGAGTTTCTCCTCTTCCCTGTTCTCTCTCCCCCGCCCTCAGCTGTCACAATAACTTCCCTCCCTGTTTCCTAGACAGTACTCTCCAGATCTGATATTGAGCTCCACTTCTGAAGAGTGGATTGGACGTCACTGTGTTTCTCTCCCATTGAATTCACAGCCTCACCTTGGTCACTGTGCAAACATCAGTCCCATCGCTGAGACTGCGTGGGCAAAATCTCTGGCTTCCTAAGCCACTTCTTCAAAATGCCATAACCTTGTCTCCTAGAATCAGGGTCTTTAACTAGAGGTCCCTGTGCATCAGCCTCAGAGGTCAATAAACCTTCTGAAAAGGTGCCCAGGATTTTCAGAGTGACACATTTTTTTCTGAACACAGCAGTCGGCCCTCAGCTTTTATCTAATTTTATCTAATTCTCAATACAGCTGAGAACTGCTGCCTTAGTCAACCAAGAACTGCAGAATGTAAGGAAGAGAATTTGAACCAAGGGCAGAGGTCCTCGGGCTAATCTCGGTCCTCCTACAAAATGGCCTCAGTTTCCCCACCTACAAAATGGCGTTGACACCCTCTGATTCAACATCAGGAATCTGGAGGAGATTTATTGGTGGGGAAACCAGATTCATTGGCCCAGGACTGTGGCAGGATAACAGGACAGGATTGGCTCCCGTTGGTGAGGCTGGATTACAGAGTGCTGTAAATGGATTTAGATTCTCCAGATGCCAAAGATAGGATGGTCTCTAATATTGGGGGGGGGAGGAGAATCACGGGATAGATTAACCTTTTCATTAGCATCTATAGAGTAATGTGTTAGATGTTAGTCTAGGACTTAAGATCAAAGAGACGGGAGTTCAACACTTCACTTGGCCACACTCTGGCCGCCATATTTTGGGCAAGTTACTTCTCTCTGATGTTCAATAAAATACTTATTATACAGCAGGTGCTTAAAAGGTGCTTTGAATAACTGAACTCAGGAATGAATACAGAAATCTGGAACTCAGATCTGGGCTGAAATCATGATTTGGGAACCAAAGGCGCCTTCGAGCATTAAAATGGAAAGAAACTATCATTTATGGTTAGGAGTCAATAAACTGTACCAAGAAGGTCAAACCTACCCCACTTCCTGTTTTTATAAATAAAGTTTTATTGGAACTCAGGTTTGCCTATTTATTTGCATAATGTCAATGGTTGGGTTTGTGGGACCATGGCAGAGGCAAGTAACCATGTTCACAGATCTAAAGCAATTACTATCTGTTTTTCTACAGGAAATTAAAAAAAAAAATCGACTGACCTCTTTTTTAAGGGTCTGAAAGAGGAACTTGTAAAAGAAGGGAGGAAACAGCCAGAGAAGCCAACTTCATTTCTAAATCTCCAGGTTGAACTTCCGCAGAGACCAAGAGAGGAAAGAGGAGGGAATCTCACCTTCGAGCTCTGGCAGGACCCAGCTCCCGGCAGGCCTTGTCTCTCTCCCAGCTGTTGGTGCCCAAGGCCTCGGTGGCCAGACGCTGACCCAGTTTTTCTGAAGGTCCATCCTGGGCTGGACCTATGGGGCTGCTCTGGGGCTCTGTCCTGTGGGGGAAGAAATGAAAAGGCATGGGTTAGGTGATGCAGAGGACCGGTCACTAGATTCAGATTTTCATTTTCAGCTTCCTTTGTAGTTAGGTTGAAACTGTTAGATTATCTTTGGACAATTGTCTCTGAGTAGTCGTTTCCACTTTAAGCCAGTCATGAACCCCACATGACTTCTCCTGGTCTCTCTTCCTCTGTTCTAGTGACTTTGGGGGCCACATATTCTGGAGGATGAAGCTCCTCAATGGAGGAGAAACAACAGAATCACATCAGATTTTCAAGAGAGACGTACACCTTACTAAGATTAAGACACTCAGATTTTGGAGCTTGTTACTGCAGCATACGTTAGCCTATCCTGACTAAACCATGGGGAGGTGCAGGAAACCAGCATTCTACTTTCTTGTCTTAAGACACAATTGGAGGACAAAGCATGATATGATAGCTGAAACTCTACTTTGACAGTTCTATTTGATTTCTCCACCTCATCTGTACACTCTCATGCACGGTTTCTCTTGACATCATTTACCTGTGGCTTACCATGGCCCAAAAATATTAAATGGAAAATTCTAGAAACAAACGAATTTTAAGTTCCAAACGTGCACCATTCTAAGTAATGTGATGATATCTTGCATCATCCCACTCTGTCTTGCCCAGAAGTGAATTATCTCCCTTACTTGTTGATCACTTAGCAGCCATTTTGGTTATCAGATCGACTGTGACTGTACCACGGTCCTGTTCAAGTCACCTTTATTTAACTTAACAATGACCCCAAAGTCCAAGACAATGATGTTATCCACCTGGAAGCTGAAGAGATTTGCTAAGTGCTTCATTGGAGTAAAAAAAGCCGAAAGAATAATGATTTTTTTTTTCAGTGAGATGCACTTATGTAACTTTTATTACAACATGATTGTTTAATTTTATTATCAGTTATTGTTAGTCTCTCACTGTGCCTGATGTATAAATTAAACTTTATCACGGTTGTGCATGTATAGGAGAAGACAGAGGCTTCAGTACTCTCCTTGGTTTTAGGCATCAATTGGGGATCTTGAAACACTTCTGCCGTGGATGTGGAGGGTATGACGTCTGATTACTTAACATGTCTGAGTTCCCTCAATTGTAAAACAGGGAATAATATTAGCCAGTGTATTGTTACATTGTTGTGCAGACAAAACGAGATTATTCATGCAAAACAAAAAAGTCTAGAAATTGTCTTTTTCTTTTACTTCCTTGCAAACCGATTGTCCCTGACAGGTATGAGATCACCTGGGATCTCAGAGAGTAACCCGAAGCTCCCTCCTTTGCTACAGATGTAGGCTCCAAATAATACTGGGGAGCAGCCAAGGAGTCTCATCTCTTATTTAGAGTCCCAGAGAGTGACAAGAAGTTGCCTAGGTCCTCAGCTTTTGAAGAAACTGTCGCTCTAACTCCTAGCTCCCAACCAGGAGGAGTCAGGAGTTCGGGGGTCACAGATGTATTTGTCACCTTCTAGAAAGTTCTCCTCCCTGCTCACCCTGTCTTCAGACCCCCCAGGTCAGACATCGATCAAAAGCACTAGCATTTTTCATGCACCAGGCTGCTGCAGCCAGTGCATCAGGACTGGTTTCAGGACTCAGGATGAACGCATCTGATAAGCCCTCCACTCCTTGGGGCTTCCAGGGGAGCAGCCAAGCCCAGTCAATATTGAAGGAAGGGCAGAAAAACACATCCATCTCTGTCAGCTGCATATCAGTGAATCTTTAGAAGCAGAGCCAGGAGGGACGGAGGTTCTAATAAGGGCTGCCCTCCTCCCTGACGGCTCCTGGCTTCTAGAACCCCCTTCCACCTTACCCAGCCTCGGTTCTCCCTAGACCTCCCTACCCCAGTCTCCTACTATGAGAGCTCCATTTCTGTGCCTTTCCCCCCTGTCCATGGGTCTCTGTGGAATTGGAGCTAGGAATTGTTACATTGTTGTGCAGACAAAATGAGATTATTCATGCAAACAAAAAAGTCTAGAAATTGTCTTCTCTTGACAACTCAAAGCTTGCAGTTTCTGCCTTGCTCCCAGCAAGACCGGCCTTGACCTGCTCTTGTCCTGCTTAGGTTCACCTGAGTGCATTAACTCCAGTTTCCTGAGTGCTTCTGACGTGGGCACAGCAGTTCTAGAATTTACATCCTGGATGGAGGAGTAGATAATCAACACAGAGGTAAACCTGTGGCTTATTTAATGGTGATCGATTATGGTGAGAATAAAGTGGTATGCAGGAGTAGGGATGGAGGGGTGGCTGCTATCTTGCAGAAAGGAATCAGAGAAGACCTTTGAAGGGAGTAATGATGGAGCTCAGACTTGAAAAAAATAGGGGCCAACCTTGAAGCTTGGGTGGTTAAAAATGTGTTCACAGATTCTCTGACATTTATGCCATCAAAAAAAAAAAAAAAAAGGAACGAATTTCTTTCCCTATGAAGTTGGATGGGCTTATTAACTTCCTTTAAGTGCACAGAATGTGGTAGAAGTGATAATGTGTGACTTTCCAACTAGGTCACCGAAAGCTCCTTCTGCCTTGCTCTCTTGATCATTCTGGGAAAAAAACAGCTGCCACTTTGCAAGGACACCCAAGTGGCCCCACAGAGGGACCCATGTGAAGAAGTGAGGCCCCCTGCCAACAGCCAGCACCAACTTGTCACCTTGAAGTGGATCTTCCCACTCCAATCAAGCCTTCAGATGTGACTGCAGCCCCCCCCCCCCCCCCCCGAAGACATGTGGCCACAACCTCATGGTGAACCAGAACCACCCGGCTAAACTCCCTTCTCACAGAAACTATGAAGTCCCATAGTTGAATGCTGTTTTCAGCCACCAAGCTTTGGAGCTGTTTATTGCATAGTAATATCTAATTTCTACCCAGGTATCTGCAGAAAGGGAGGTTTAAAGACCCTTAGGATCTACAAGGAACAGAAAACAAAGACCAGAGTGGCAAGAGGTGAGATCAAAGATCATGTCTTTCGGGTCTGGGAGGGCCTTTGGGTTTTCTGAGCTGAAATGTGGAATCTTTGGAATAGACTTACGGAGTTTGTCTTACCTTTTGGAGGGATTGTTCTAGAATTGAGGGGCACTGGAATGAGGGGAAGAAAGAGAAGAGCTGGGGAGCCCTCTGCAATGGTTCAGACTCAGATCAGAGCAGCAGGGATGGAGGCCATGCATGGTCAGGCTCCAACACAGTTTGAAAGCAGGGCAAACATCGTCTACTGCTGGTTACACGTAGGAGCAGGAGAGTAGGAGAAGGGCAAGAGTCAAGGATGACTCCAAGGTTTTGAGCTCCGGCAGCTGCCAAGAGGGAGCCCCTGGTGAGATGGAGAAGGTGCGCGGGCGTAGGGAGCAAGACTCCGGGGACATCTGCTCCTTTTCTAGGATATGACAGTCCCTTTGCTATGTCGATGGCAGCCCCTAATAATGAGCTGTCATTTAATTGTGTTCGCTCACACTGCAAGCTGAGCTCCCTGAGAACAGGACTGTTCTTTCTGCCTCAGATCTTAGGGAGAAGGCTCCCTTCAAAAAGTGAGAAAAGGCTTTTGAAAGGCTTTGGACTAGTGCTTTCATCTTAGCGTTGATGGGAATGGACACCCAGAGATGGCCAATAACCCAACTAGCGCCTCCGTCTACTCAGATTGCCCCACGTCTTCTCAAATCTACAGGATTGAACTCAGCGGCACTTGACCCCTGAGCCCCATCCCCAGCCCTATTTTGTATTTTATTTAGAGACAGGGTGGCACTGAGTTGCTTAGTGAGCCTTGCTTTTGCGGAGGCTGGCTTGAACTCGACATCCTCCTGCCTCAGCCTCCCAAGCCTCTGGGATGACAGGTGTGTGCCACTGCACCTGTCTCTACAGCATTTTTTTTTTTTAAAGAAAAGTGATCCAAAAGTTCATTGATTTATACCTGTTTCCTAGCAAAGCCTTGAGTTGGAGACACATAAGATTGGAATTTTGGCCTCTTGAAGCATTGTAGGGGACCAAACGACAAATATATACCAGAAACAATCCTATAGTAGACAAAAACTGAGTCATCTGGAGTGTAGGGGCAGCTGGGGGTGGTATTCCCTGGGCCAACGGGAAGGCTGGGATTCAGGGATGGGAAAACCTGGCTGTGGTGTGGTGAGGAGGGAGGGGATGGGGCGGGAGGGGATTCACGCTCTTTGACGAGGTGGATGGTGTTTTATTTCCTTTTTCCAACAGTGCTGGCTCTGCCTCACCTGGGCTTGGGTGCCAGGCCTGGGATTGTGCAATAAAAGGGACAGCCATAATTAATTCTACCAGGCACACAGGCAGCACTGAGGGGTGTGGGGAGAAGGGAACCTTCCATAATATAACATTTGAAATCTTTTTTCAAAATATTCCAATGCTTTGTGTCACAACTTTCTGAAAACTGAAAGAAACTCAAAAGGCACGAAGTTTGAGTTTCCCAAATTTGATGCAGTAGCCGAGGCTCCCCAGGAATTTTTTTAAAATGCAGATTCCTAGGTCCCATCCCAGTCATAATAAAGGAGTCTTAAAGGGGTGAACCTAAGAATCTGCATGTTAAAGAACAACCCAGGTAATTCAGCTTCCTATGGGGTCAAGAATAAAGTCCAAAGACCCTGCATGATCTGCTTTCAACGCCATCTCCTATGCCTCTCTGTCCCTTTCACTGTTCTAGCCACGTGGTCTCCTTGTTTTCTCAAATAGGTCAAGCGGTTACCTTCCCCAGGGCCTTTGCTCCTGCTGCCTCCCACCTGGCATGCATTTCCTCCAGTTCTTTGCCTATGTAGCTCCTCCTCCTCATTGAAGCATCACTTCTCCTCTTCACTCACCATAGAAACCCCTGGTGCCTGCTGCATTATTTCTTTATATCACTTATTATCATTTGAAACAATCATTTTCTACGTTGTTGGCTAACCAGTTCTCTTCTGGACTAGAACACAAGCTTCATGGGAAGGGGAACTGGTCACTGAATCCCCAGAGACATAGTGTCTGATGCAGTATCTTTCTGCT